AATTTAGGTTCCATCTGGATAATCCAGGATGATCTTATCTCAAGATCCTTAATTATTTCTGTAAAGACCCCTTTTCCAAACAAGGTCACATTCAATTTCCAGGGATTAGGATGTGTTCATGTCTTTTAGGGCCATCATTCAACCCACTACAGATGGGTTGATTCTCTAGAAAGTTCTTCATTAGCTAAAATCTGCCTCAGTTCACTTGCGCCTGTGAACCCTCTTTCTACTCCTTGAAGGCCTAAGCACAAGTTACTCTGTTTCCCCCTGACATTCTTCAGAGATTTGCAGCCAATCACCAGATCCCCAGACTTGGCCACGTTTTATGACTGGTGGAGACTGTCACACTGGTTTGGTGGCCCATTGGCAGCATGGCAAAGAGGAGAACATGCTCAGTCCCTGTCAGAGGCAGAGTCTTGGGCATCCATCCAGGCCAGACACTCACGGCCATGGGTGACCCAGCAGGTCACTTCACCTGGCCAAGCCTCCACTTCTTCCTCTGTTAGATGACATGGCCACTGTGGGATTGTCACATGCAAAGAAACCTGCAAAAAGCAGGCTTTCAACAGTTTCTTTCCCTCACTCAGTATCTGGTCCACATTTTAAAAAGAATTTTTAAAAAAGAATAAATCAGCCCGCACGATAACACATTTAGAGAAAAGGGTGAAAGATGCAGAGGAAAACAACTATGGTTATATAAAAGAATATCAATTACAAAATGGCTTTGAAATTACTTTCGTACAGGATATTTCTGTTTACAAAGTGCTTTCCCATCTGTCCTCTCACTTCATCTGGACAGAAACCCTGTGAGATAGGTTTTATTATTATTCCCATTTCACAGACAATGAAACTGAGGTCCCAAGAGGTGAAGTGACTTGCCCAAAGTCACACAGCCAGTGGACACCAGAACAGATTCCAGATCCTATGGCCTTGTGTCCAACCCTGCTCCTACCACATGGCAGAGTGCTGCCAAACTAATTCAAACTTCCACATGTCGGTCCTCAGTGTGATGCACATGGTTCATGCAGCTGTCAGATGTCCCAAGCTGCAGGACTGAGGCCAGAGGAAAGAGGGGCCTTTGTAAGAAGGCCTCAGGGAGGGGCTGCACCAACACAAAGCCCAGACACCAGTCGGCCATCCTGGCTCTTCCTCCTTTCCACCAACACCACCGTTCTGCCCTGTGCCCACCTGCACTCCCCCGCAGCCTGCCCTCTCACTAAACCACACAGCAAGGCTAAAATCTCAACTTTGGCCTCTACCCTGTCCGTTTCTGTTGGGAGATGTAAAAGTTAGGAGTACAGTTGCAAGTGAGAGAAAACCCAAAATAGTAATGGTTTGATAAACAGGCCACCTCCTTCTCCAGTAAACCTAGTTCAGAGGTAAACAGTCTAGGTCTTGAGGGGAGGGGAAGGGCCTGGGATCTTGGCTCCTGGCATCTGGTGGGCACTACATGGTCATCACACAGCTTCCACATCATGGTCTAAGATGGCTGCTGAAGCTCTACCCATCACACGGCACCCCAGCTGTCAGGAAGGAGGAAAAGCAATACCTCTTCCCCTTAAAGACACTTCCCAGACCTTGTAGACACCACTTCCACTTATGCAGCATTGTCCAGAACCTAGCCATAGGCCACACTTAGCTTCCAGGGCAGCTGGGAAATGTAGTCTCTATTCTGGGTGGCTGTGTGCATTGGGGGATAATAGAAGTCCCAGACACAAGGGATCTGCCTGGTTTAATATGAAAAAAAAAAAAAGCCTGGACTGAACTTCTAGAGACACAGTCCACTTTTGCTGTGTGGTCTTGGGCAGGCCTTTTTCTCCTCCCTGGGCCTCAGTGTTCTCTAGACAGTAAGGGGAGGAGGCTGAGATCATATCTGAAGTTCCTTGCCACCATGGCCTCCGGTGGGTCAGTGCATGAACCTGCTGTGGAGGTGAAGGAGAACCAGACAGCTCTCACACCCCCAGTCTGCATTTCCTCAGTGGGACTCAACTCAGGGCCACAGATATAAATGTGACAGATGGTGACATCCAGAAAACCTAGCTGATGGCAAAGCCCCCCACCTCCTGGGGAACCCTCCATTTGGCAGCTTCTCAGAGCAGCGAGCATGGGCTGCCCCTTGGTAACAACCGTCTCCCCTTTCTGTTCACCGTTTCAGTTGTTCGGTTGTTTCTTAGCTTGGGAGACCCGCAACGTCAGCATCCCTGCACTCAACGACAGCAAGTACATCGGGATGAGCGTCTACAACGTGGGCATCATGTGTATCATTGGGGCCGCCGTCTCCTTCCTCACCCGGGACCAGCCCAACGTGCAGTTCTGCATCGTGGCCCTGGTCATCATCTTCTGCAGCACCATCACCCTCTGCCTGGTGTTTGTGCCGAAGGTACAGGGGTGGCCCCCACCACCCGGCCTCTGGCCTCTGACTCCACCCCAAAGGGATTGCTGGTTTCTTTCTAAAAGATTTATGCATTTTTTTTTT